ATATATATATATATATGAAAAAGATGGGACAAAAATTAGGCATTTACACCTCTTGTAGAGCACAAGGTATGCATGATGCCATGGTGGTGGAATCAGGTCTTTTCATGTGTACTTCTTTCTTTTCTATTTTGCTAGTAAATTTTAGATATGTTCAAACAATGAAGCTTCTTGGTATGGTGATAGCTCCAAGTGTTTATTTACCAAAGGAATAATAACAAGCTGAAATGATTAATTCCCCTGGTTTTCCTAGTAATGATTTAATTATATCAAGTACATTTTATAGTACTCGACATGTGTTCTCATTTTTTGGAGGAAAAATTCCCTTTGCTTTTTCTTAAGTTTTACTTCTAATTCTCTAAATAATCATGAGTGTCATGCGGGTATTTTTGGATAATTTAATTAAGACTATATAGCTAAGGGTAAACCTTCAAAAATACCTTGTCATCCACCTGTTCTTCCCAACTATAAGTACAATCTAATCCAACAAAGTGAAGATCAGTAGTACGGTACGAAGTCGGTCCCTGTTCTCAATGCTCAATGTGAATTGACTTTAGTTATGAGATGGATTAGAAGAAACATCAATAAAAGCCTTATTTATTTATTAAAACAAATGAGTACAAGAGATAGCATTACAAATTATTTCCCCCCCTCCTCGGACCCTTGTCCTTTTTCCTAATATTGACAAAATCGACCATGATCTGCACCACCCATGCCCCCAAATAAGAAGTTATAGTCCCAGTAACCATCATTGTCATTATGTTGATTTCCTTCATAGAAGCACCTTGATTCATGAGTTTAAACCTTGGAATCATCTGGTGGAACTTGTTGCTTCTTTCCATTTATTTCTATTTCATACAAGACTTTGCGCATGTAACAAGTTAGATACGGTTGCCCTCCTCTAAATTTACCCGCTCCCATGGCAGGGGTAATGTATTCACCTGCTGGTGTGTACACCTTCCCTCCGTATTGTACTGTGTACGCTCCATTTGCACTCAATTTATCGAATAATTCAAATGGCCACATTCCTATCTCTTCGTTCATCACCGGCATTACTAGATGATAATCCAAATATTCTGTCTAATAAAATGACAATTTCGTTAGTGTACACTGGAGGCAAAATTTCATCAGTTAACCCCGTAAATAAATGTATCCTCATTATCTAAAAGCTAATGAATGATACAAATATTAAAAAGCTCTTCAATCATAAAAACAATACTACTGCATATTGAACTAGTCCTTTTTTTTTCGTCATTTGAAATCACGTTGTTTTTCAAAATTAATGAGAGCAAATAACTTCAAGTTAAACCTGATATCATCTAATAAATTGATAAATATGATTACAATAGTATGGAAATTCAATTAAAATGATTTTTGGGAAACAAGTGAAATTAAAGTCATATTAATACTTATGACAAAATTATTTCCAATATAAGAACCTACGACAACGAAGAATTCAAATTTCGAAGAACAAATGTCATGTAAAAAATAAAAGAGATCGGGGGTTTTGTGGCGGGAGGGGGGGGGGGGAGGGGAGGAGAGGGATATAGAGAAATTAGTTTATGAAATCCATACAATGATTGTCACTTTTGTTTGTGGAAAAACAAATTTAATTTTAGGTAAATAATAATTAAATGAAAGTATTGGAAGTAGTGTATATCATCCTATCTAAAAGGTTATATGAATTATATCATCCTCCTTACCCTTTCCTTAAAATAAATTCAGAGTGGAAATGAAATCAACTAAAAAAATGATGTCTTATTAACAAATATAATTAAGCAAATGGCAGAAATACCATAAGAATTGAGTTCTTGAGAAAAAGGTGAAATTAAACTTGCATTAGTACCTAACAAACATTAATTCTTAGAAACCCATAACGACAAATTAAAGAAGAAAAATAATACCAATTTTAAAAAATAAATTTAGCATGTAATAAATAAATAAATAAAAGATCTGAGATAAAGAGAGATAAGTTGAGAAAAGGCTGCTGCTCTAATTGGTAGAAGATTACTTGTTTAGTCCGTTCAGAATGGTCCTTTTTATTTTTTTGGTTAATAAAAAAACAATTCATAATGATTGATTCTAGATAACAAAGGTATGATAAGCGGAAAAAATGTAACTTAATTAATATACATATACATACCTACATTGACAATGTTAAAAATTTAAATATACTTTGTAGGTGATTTTGATTAATCTAAATACTAGATTCATAATAATTTGATATATAACTTAGTGAGGTTAATTTTTTACAGTTGAGATTCAAAGTGCCCTTTGTTATTTATTCAATATTCCTAAATAGTTCAAATAGTGCATTCCGCATTTAGTTCCTCCAGTTAAGTGTTTATTAGCATTTAATTTGTTTAACGATTGCATGAGGCAATCCTTTTTATTTGGTTGTATATTCATATGTGGGCACAATGACAACAAAATGTCGGACCACTTGTTTTTGTGCAATGATACAAAAAGAGAAGAATTATAGTAAGAATAAATAATGCAATAATTGAAAGTTCATAGCATAACATATATAATACCTGATAGACCCTTAGAAGCACTTCTTCTTTGAATTTAGTTTGTACGGCGGAGGTCCTTGGAAAAGCATAATCTACAGGTATTACACGACTTAATTGAATAAATCCTGGACAGTGCGTGTTGTAACATCCAGTTGTGTGAAAGCCATCTGCCTATTTCAAGTATTTATTAATTATTTTGTTTTTTTGGAATTCTACGGTAAAATTCCTTCATATTCAAATGAAAAAGGAATTATTAAAAAATATTCTTACTGTCCACGTCGTATACAAATGAGTTCGGTTGTCACCATTCAACTTTGGATGCACCTGAAAACATAAAATTACAGGGAAAAAGAAGAAGGAAAACTATTAGGTGCTGTACCCAGAGGCGGATCCACAATTTAAATCTTATGGGTTGAGCTTTAAAGTTTTTAGTGTTGAACTTATTATATTTTTAAAGTTATGAGTTCATATCAATTATTTTCGTAATTTTAATAAATTTTTTACACATAAAATTTTACTCCGCATCAAAAGTTATGGATTTAATTAAATCCGTGGGTAATACACTAGGTCTTCCCCTCGGTGTACCAAAAAAGAATAACAACACAAAAAGATTCAATGAATTAAAAAAAGATTATGAATGATTGAGCAGTTTCTAGATTTAATGAAAATTCAGTAATATAGTGGAGTATTAGTTTCTACGAAAAGAAAGGAATAAATTGAAACTTACAATCCATCCCACTTCTATCTGCTCAAGATTTTTTCCTGCCCCATTACTAAAGTAAATGGTTGCAGCACTGTATTGGCCAGTCCCATTTACTTGAGGATTGTATAAACAAAGAAAAGCTGAGACCCCCAAAAATCTTTCTATTGGTGGAGATGCTGTTATGCTAATTCCTGCAAACTAAATATAATATTTTCTTTTATTCCTTCAAACTATTCAATAGTTATATATATACACTTCTAAATGAAGACTTACATCAATCCAATTGTATCCGAAGTATTCATTGAACAAGCTTAAGGAGGCATGTCTAGCATTTTGGAGTTGTTTCTTTTTCATTCTTCGTATTGGTACCGTTCCAATTGGGCATCCTTCTTTATTCAACCAATATTCCTCTGCCTTGAAACCTCCAATTTTTTCCTCTTTTTGTCTTTCAAGCTCATTTGCTATGATCATCTGTTTTGCATATATTGTAGTAAACAAAATCAAAATCAGAATATGAAAATTTACCAAGGAAATGTCATGAATATTAAAAATAAATCTGTACATTCTTTATGAAGATGCTACTATAAAACTTCACCTTAATTCTTTCTGAGCCCAATTTTGGATGCAGAAGAGTTGGCTGCTTGTAGATATCCACACAATCATAAAAATCTCCATGAATAGTCTAGAGAAGATCAATTTCATCACCAAAAAGGAGGTCTTAAACTGCAATACATTTTTGTAAGCTTGAAATGTCCAAACATACCAAAGAAGAAAAAGTACAGAAATTATACCTCAATTGTAATGATTGATCTTCTGCCGGACTCGTAGCACTCGACCACATTAGAAAGAATTACAATCGAAACCAATAGAGAAAAGCAAATTGTTGTATCTCTCACAGCCATTGGAAACAATTTACAGTATTTGAGTTGTTTCTGGAAGTAATTATAGTACAAAGATTTTCAATGTTAGAAAGTTGTTAAATGTCGATACAAAGTAAGAAACTAGTTAAATTTTGACCCAATGTTAGAAAGTGATTAAAAGATATTCTTAATACTCTCTTTCTCTAATTTAGATGGATATACGCAAATCAATTCAATAAGATATGATGAAAATTCTTCCTAATTTGGACGTTGAATTTCCTAATTTTGGACGTTGCACATATATTCTTTTCTTTAAATTCCTCTTACACATGTTTTTTCTATATTAATCAAAAAATAGTGAATATTTCTCATTTATAAATTACTTTTTCATTAAAGAAAAGTGGATGAATATAAAATGTTAAAGCATCAATTCCGGGATTTTCTGTTCAAGTTGCAACCGCCTAACTCTCTCTCTCTCTTTTCTTTTTCTCTCCTGTCTCAAACTATTGTCCTAACCCCAACTAATTTAACTTTAGTTTAAGCGTTGACTTTTCTCAGACAATCGGGCTAAAGTCAATGCTGGGAATAATTGGGACTGCATAACAATAAATAACAACAGTAACATTCCACCTCAAAGTTTAACTAAATTACTATTTACTGTCAAAATCAGCTATTCATGAAGTTCAGCCATGGATTCTTAGCTGATTGAAGCTAATCTGATGAGTTTGAATAGGCCAGTGAAACAGAGGAAGAAGGTGGAGAGAGAATATTCCCAGAGATTCTATTTCTTCAATAATATTGTGTGTATCTGTACAAGTATATGTATATGACTGAAAACTACTAACTATGGTTAACTAACTCTACTACCAACTATAGTAAACTTAAGTTACAATTAGTACAACTAACTAACTGTCACTATAACTAAGTGATATTACTTGGCTCAATACTCCCCCTCAAGCTGGAGGGTAGAAACAAATTTTCTACTCCCAGCTTGCTCAACAGATAATAGTGTGGTGCTTTTCCAAGACCTTTGGTAAGTAAATCTGCAAGTTGATCTTTAGTACTGACATGATGTGTTTGGATGAGACCTTACTGCAATTTCTCCCGTACAAAATGACAATCAATGTCAATATGTTTGGTCCTCTCGTGGAATATTGAATTAGCAGCTATATTATGGCTGCTTTACTGTCGCAGAAGAGGTCTATGGGCAATTTCACAGTGATGCCTAACTCCTTAAACAGACCCACAAGCCATGATAATTCAGCTATTGTTGAGGCCATGCTTCTAAACTCTACCTCTGCTGAACTTCTTGACGCTGTGCTCTGTTTCTTGGATTTCCAAGAAATAAGTGATTCCCCGTACTTCACAATGTACCCTGTGACTGCTTTTCTGGACTGTGGACAGGCTGCCTAGTCGAAGTCACAATAAGCAACCAATGAATGAGAGGTTGCAAAAGACATTAGTAAACCCAAACCTGGAGCATTCTTCACATATCCGATGACTCTGAGGGCTGCATTCATGTGTGATCTCATAGGTTTGTGCATGAATTGACTCAATACTTGAACCACATAAGCTATATCAGGCCTGGTGAGGGTAAGGTAGACCAACCTTCCTACAGTCTTTGATAGGGTTCAGCGACAACCAGAATAGTATCCTCATCATCCTTGGTCTGCGTAGCTTCATCAAATTCCACTAATCTGTGCTTCTTATTAACTTCCAAAGGTGTTGACACAGGCTTTGCTCCCCCTAGCCCTGAATCAGATATCAGATCAAGGGCATATTTGCATTGATTCATGAGGATTCCAGCCTTACTTCTGGCAAATTCTGTGCCTAAGAAGAGTCTGAGCTCCCCTAAGTCTTTCATTTTGAACATCTTCTGAAGGTTATCTCTAGCAGCTTGAATAAGTTGCTGATGATTGCCTGTCACTAGAAGGTCATCTACATAAACTAGGACAACAACTAAAGCATCACCTCTCCTTTTTGTAAACAAGGAATAATCAAAGTGGCTTTGGACAAATCCCAGGTCTTTGAGAGCTTTTGGGAGCTTCAAGTTCCACTGTCGAGATGCTTGTTTGAGCCCGTAAAGTGACTTTCTCAATTTACACACCTTGGCTCTAGACTCCCCCTTGGTACCAAAACCCTGAGGAAGATGCATGTATACTTCTTCAAAGAGATCCCCCTGCAAAAATGTATTGTGCACATCCATCTGATAGATATGCCAATGTTCTGAAGCAGCTGCAGCTATAACTGATCTGACAGTCACCATTTTAGCTACAGGAGAAAAAGTCTCCTTGTAGTTTAGACCTTCCTTTTGGCTAAAGCCTTTGGCTACAAGCCTAAACTTGAACCTTTCCAACTTCCTATTAGCTTTGTATTTGACTTTGTATACCCATTTAAATCCTATAGGAGTTTTACCTTTAGGCGGATCAACTATATCCCAAGTTTTGTTATCTTCCAAAGCTTGAATTTCCTACTCCACAGCATTGACCCATTTTGCATCTTTGGCTACCTCATAGTAGTGCTTGGTCTCAATAATGACTGATTGTGCAGTAAGACATTTTACATATGAAGGGGATAACCCATCATAGCTTAGATAATTTGACATAGGATATGCACAAGAACTTGTCACATAATCCTGCATTCTTCTGGGAGGTCCAGTGTTCTCTGGGATTTTCTGACTGCAATTGGTTGAACAACTTCTACATGTGAAGGAAGCTCAACTTCATGTGGTGCAGGGCTGTCAAGTTGTGCTTCAGGTGAATCAACATCATCAAGTGCAAAGTCATTGGTAGGAGACTAAATGCTCATCTGTTAACTCAAGGACTGGAAGTAAGGGATTAGGCATATTCTTCATTTGCTTAAAAAGAAACACCTGCTCCTTAAACACCACATCTCTACTGATTAGAAACTTCCTGGATTGCAAGTCATACAGTTTATAGCCCTTCTTTGTTGGTGAGTATCCCATAAACAATGCTGGCAATGCTCTGGCAGAAAATTTGTCCTATTTTCTTACATTTACCGCATAACTTAAGCACCCAAACACCCTAAGGTGATCTAATGATGGTGCAATGTTAAAGAATACTTCATAGGAGGACTTTCCTTTCAGGGATATAGAAGGAAATCTATTTATTATGTGTACTGCTATAATAACACACTCACCTCAAAATCTTAAGGGTGCTGCAGATTGAAATCTCAATGCTCTAGCTGTTTCAAGGATGTATCTGTGTCTTCTTTCCACTATGCCATTCTGCTGCGAAGTATAAACACATGTAGTTTGATGTACAATTCCTAATGTCTTAACTAGCTGTTTCATATTTGAATTAACAAATTTAGAACCATTATCTTTTCTCAGGATCTTAATAGAACAATCAAACGTAGTACTGATCATAGAAAACAATCTTTTCATTAACCAACAAGTCTCATCTTTAGCATTCATCAGGAAAAGCCAAGTTATTCTAGAGAAATCATCCACTACTATAAGAAAAAATCTCTTGCTATCATAAGTGGGTACTCTGAAAGGTCCCCATACATCAACATGCAAAAGATCAAATGGTGCCTTAGCTCTACTAGTACTACCTGGAAATGGTAATCGAGTCTACCTAGCTAATGGACAAACAGGATACATTGCACAATCACTGCTCCTGTTACTAGTGTGAAGATTTTTAAACTTATCAATCCTCTTAAGTGTCTCCATAGGTTGGTGACCAAGTCTCTTGTGCCATATCTCCAGTTTTATTGAATCTTGACTAACTGACATAGAAGTAGGCATGATTGTGGTATGTATAGTTGGTGTAGTAAGCTTCCTCCTACATATGCAATCTTTGAGTATGTACAGTCCATTTGTGTCATTACCAATCCCCAACACCTTCCCAGTGTAGAGATCCTGAAATACACATATATAAGGAAAGAAGGCTACCAAACATTGCAGCTCTTTTGTCAATTTTGAAACTTATAGTAGGTTATACTTATAGTTTGGAACATGAAGAACATCACTAATCTGTTGGTTCTTAAATATACTAGTTGATTCACTATGTGTAATTGCAGCCACATCTCCATTTGGTAAATGAACTGAGTTGTGTTTTAGGAATGAGGTAGGATTATCTAATGCTTCTAGCTTTGAAACCGTGTGGTTAGAGGCACCACTATCTATAATTGTAACGACCCGGCCGGTCGTTTTTGGAATTTACGCCCCGATCCCCCATTAACTGCTTCCCCTAAGTTCATTTTTGCTATTTTGGTTTGCCAGGATGTTCGGTGTTGGGATTCAGAGTGTTTTGGGACACTTAGTCCCTAAATGAGAGCTTAAGAGTTGAAAAATGGTCCGTAATCGGGACAGTGTGAAGACGACCTCGGAATGGAAATCCGATGGTTCTGTTAGCTCCGTTAGGTGATTTCGGGGTTGGGAGCGTGTTCGGAATATATTTTGGAGGCTCGTAGCTCATTTAGGCTTGAAATGCCGAAGTTTTAATTTTTGAAGTTTCCGGTCCGATAGTGAGTTTTTGATCCGAGGGTCGGATTGGAATTCCGGAAGTTGCAGTAGCTCCATCATGTCATTTGGGATGTGTGTGCAAAATTTCAGGTCATTCAGGCGAGGTTTGGTTAGGTTTTTGATTGAAAGAGTGTTTTGTTGGAATTTGAAGTTCTTAGGCTTGAATCCTTGATTAATTCGTGTTCCCGGCGTTGTTTTAGGTGGTTTAAGGATTGGTACAAGTTTTAATGATGTTATGGGATATGTCCATAGGTTTGGTTGAGGTCCCTGGGGCCTCGGGTGTGTTTCGGGTGCTCAACGGAGCACTTTGGAGTTGGAAAGTGTTGCAGAAAATCCCTTCAGCTGTTGCAGAACCTTTCTTCATTGCGATCGCATCAATAACCATGCGATCACGTAGTGCAATTCTGGAGGGGGACCAAACCCTTCTATGCGATCGCATAAGCTGTCCGCGATCGCACAGTTCAGCTCTCACTTCTTCTGCGATCGCAATACCTTGGCTGCGTTCGCATTGAACAATTTCTGGACCTTCCAATTTTACTCTTCTGCGATCGCATTACTCCTTATGCATTCGCATAGACCATTTTCTGGGCTTCCCATTTTTTTTCCTCTATGCGATCGCATGTCTACTCCTGCGATCGCGTAGAACAAAATCCCTGGGCAGATATAAACATTTCAAAACGAGGGTTTGGCCATTTTTAACAAAACTCAAGCTAGAGAGCTCGGATTTGGGAGAAATTTCGAAGATTTTTCAAGAGCAACGATTGGGTAACGATTCTCTACTCTTTTATGCTTAATACCCACTAATCTAATCACGATTTC